GGGGCGGCTGCTGCTGCAGCCTCCCGGCGCCTCTCGCAAGCGAAGGATGCCGTGTTTTCCAGATTCGTGGACTTCCACTCGGCCGCGTCCACGTGCTCCCCGTCTCGCGCCTCTCTGCTCACCGGGCGGCTCGGCGCTCGCAACGGGGTGACCCACAACTTCGCCGTCACCTCGCTCGGTGGCCTCCCTCTGAACGAGACGACGTTAGCCGAGGTCCTGCGGGAGGCTGGGTACAGCACGGGGGCTATAGGTAACTCCAGCCTTGCCCAGGGCACTTTGGTCGCGTGTATTGGGATAGGTGCTGGTGGCTGGTGGGACAGAGCTGCCCCTGTCTCTGCCTTGTGATGGAGACAGTGAAGGTAGGTGGGTCAAATGCTCCACCTGAAGGAAGGGGAGAGCGGACTCCCAGCGCTCGTCCCCAGCTTGAAACCCCGATGACAACTAATGGAGGATTTAAAGGATCGAGTGTGAGAGGTTTTTGCACTTCCTTCTCTCTGTTTGCAATTGCACGCATAAATAATTTATCCAAAAAAAGTAATTTTCAAGCATAAAACAGAGCCTGAAATTTGGGCCTGCTCCAGTTTTAAATTGCAGCTCTGGTTGCATAACCTTGGGAATGAATGCGCTCTGTTTTCGTCAGCAAACATGACTGTGCAGAATAGCTCTGTCCTCACACATCCTACGCTGGTTCTGACAAGCTCGGTGCTGGTTTGGAGCACCATGCCGCGATGGTCGGTGTCCGTGACTTGTGGGCGTCCTCCTGTAGATAACGGATTGTCATACCGTCTTCCCAGTTGTCTGTGGATAACCGGAGTGAAACGTGAATGCCCGTTCCCACTGTCAAATTGGGTTGAAAGAGTCACAGAAACCAGGAAATTCAGTTAGCGAAACGCATCCGTGGCCGTAGCCTGACACTCGCAATGCAAAGCTCTGCTTTGACTTCAAGGGTTATTTGACTTGCAAACCGATGTGGAGCTAAGCCTTTTCTGGCTTTTTGTCGTATGAATTTTGCAAAGCTCTGAGAGCGGGGCAGGAGCTGACGTTTGGTCTGCTTTAAAGGTCCTTGCTGAACAGCCGTGCCAAGCAGGGCTGCGCGAGGATAGGATGCCCCGAGCCAGGGTGGCACAGGAGCCCTCCGTTTCTCTTTGCCTGGTTATTTTTTGCTATTCTCTCTCTCTCCTACCAGCATTCTCAGCACGAGCAAGGATCCGGACACCATCGTGTGCTGGAGCTGGGAGGATGAAGCCAGTTGTTTAGAACCGGTTACAAAGTCCTCTCTTCCACCACTAAATGTGTGAAAGAGCCTTTTAGGGCTTCAGACAGTTGATTTGCTCAGACACCAGATACCTTCAGCATTTTTTCTGGATCTCTGCAAAGCTGCGTTCTAGAAATCAGGCCAGCAAAAACAAGTTGCCTTTTTGTTCCTAGATTAAAACCTCCTGCACTGTGCCCTGTATGTAATCACTGCTAATGGCAAAGTCCATAGCCAAGTTAATCTCTGAAAAGACTTTTTATGGCTTCTCTGCAGGCAAATGGCACCTGGGACACCATGGCCGCTATCACCCCAACTTCCGTGGTAAGAATTTCCCTCTCTCCTCTGAGCCGGTCACAGTTCGATTGTTGCACGACTGCTGGGGGATGATTTGCCGAGCAGGGTGCCGCTCCTGGCAGCGGAGGTGGAAAAGGGGATATTTCTGGCATCTAAGCCAACGCTGAGGGCTTCTGCCTGGTGGCTCCCGGTGGGTTACGCTAACCCGTGCCTTCAGTGAGGTGGTTTCTGAAAGGAACAGGCTGCCGGGGAAAAAATGCGGGGAAGTGAAAACAAAAATGAGGTCTCGGTGGACTGTCACACAGCTATGACGTGAGCAAGACCCCAAACCCGGGACAGATGTGTCCCAGCAGACCTTCTGGATGGGCTGCGGCAGTGGCCTGCAGTGAGACCTCACAGCTTTGGTCTGGAGCAGGCTTTGCTCCCTGTGCTCAGCAACCCCAACCATGCAAGCTGTTTAGAGGAGCTGAGCTCTCCTGGCAGCCTCACCCCTGCTCACGTGCTGGTTTGAACCTCAGGTTTCGACTATTACTTCGGGATCCCCTACAGCCACGACATGGGCTGCACAGACACCCCTGGCTACAACCTCCCACCGTGTCCCGCCTGCCCTCGGCACGTCGCAGCAGCCAGGTACGGCTCCCGCGGGCGAGGGTCTGCGCGCAGGAGTGTTTAAACGCTAGGACTGCAAGGCAGGTGTTTCCACAATCATCCCCAGCCTCGAGAGCTGTTGGGGCTGGAAGGCGAAGGGTTTGCTGTAGACATTTGCTAGGGGCTCCTCTCTTCTCTGGCAGAAAGGCTGGGTTGGCCGTGTTGTGTCCGTGCGAGCTGCCGGTGGACGGGCTGGTCTGTTCATACCGGTACCGGTGACTAATGGGATTTGGTGATTTTTTTCTGGGCAGCCATGTGAAAAAAGACTGTTACACGGACGTGGCTCTTCCTCTCTTTGAGAACGTCACTATTGTCCAGCAGCCCGTCAACCTGACCAGCCTGACGGCACAGTACGCGGAAAAAGCATCGCAGTTCATGTGGCGTGCCAGGTAAGGATGCCGTGCCCAAACCCCTGTCCCCAGCACCCAGCCCTTGGCTGGGGGAGTTCGTGGAGTCACTGCAAGTCTTTTCTGGTCGTTATAGGCAGCAGGATGTGGATGTTGCTGGGAGGTGCATAGCCCAAGAGAAATGGTGACTCTGGGATGCTTTCTGTGGGCTGGAGAGCACTAGGGGTTTCATGGGTGTTCCCTGCCAAGCTCTTCTTTTCTTCTTTTCTTCTTTTCTTCTTTTCTTTTTTTCTTTCTTTTTTTCTTTCTTTTTTTCTTTTTCTTTCTTTCTTTCTTTCTTTCTTTCTTTCTTTCTTTCTTTCTTTTTTTCTTTTTTTCTTTTTTTCTTTTTTTCTTTTTTTCTTTTTTTCTTTTTCCTGAGCTCTGCTGTATTTGAGAGCTGAATTTGCAGGTGGGACTTAACTGACAATTCTCTGGCTGTGGCCATCCCACCATGGTGTTGATACTGCAGAGCAAGTAAAGCAAACCAGTGCTAGCTGAAAGCTGTACACATGTACGAGGAATTGAGCTCTACGAAGTGCCACGTTTGTGTGCTGCTGGGGTGAGCAGATTTGCTCTAACTATTCTCGGGGACAGATCTGTGGAGAGGAAATTTTGACAGTTCTGCTCTCAAACCCTCTCTAAGAGGGAGGAGCCACCTAGGATTTCATTGGTGTTCTGCAGGATTACTGTGAAAGTGCTTTGGCCTTCAATACATCTCCTGTAAAAAGGGATCATGTGCGTTTATAAATGCAATTTGCTAGAAAGGTCAAAGCTTTTGATCTTTGTGTATGCTGGCTTGCACTGTGCCTCGCTCGCAGAATGATGGGGAGTTTAGTCAGAAGTGCCATGAGATCCTGGGTCATGGGAACAGAGTGCAGGCTTTGCTCTCTCTCGCTGCGTTGGAGGTGGGAACAAATCAGAAGCCCAGGTGGAAAAGATGCTGCTCCCCATGGGAATAGGTGTTTTCTGCAGACGATTGTTTAGCTAACTGAATCCATGGGTGCAAAGGCATTTTCAGTGCTCTAGTATCCTACAAAGGCTGGGACAGAACTAGGAATTTGGGCATAAGACTCTTATTCTGGTGCCTAATTTTCTCTTTTATTTATTTTAATGGTTCCAGACTAGGCCTAATAGAGTCATCATATTTGGAGCACTATTTGCCCTGCTTTTCCCTGGCCTGGCAGTCTCTGATGTTTCAGAGGCAGGCAAAGATGTCGTTAGGGTGAGCGTGTTACTTTGCTGCTCTCAGTGCAGATGCTCTGCCAGAAGGAGCAAAAAAGGGTCACCCAACAACCAACGTGGGCAGATTGCCCCTTCCCATCAAAGGTTTCCCCAACATGTGATGCCATGAAGCATTCATTTTTTTTATGAACCAGGTGGTGTTGGTTGCTGGTGGCCACGTGAGAGCGCATGCTATGGCCTCTTGGGTGAAAGAGGTGCTTGGATATTGGAGGGTATGGAGCAGAAAAATGCCTTGAGGTGAAATACGTGACTTCTCCTTGCTGATGTAATCACTGCCCAGCTGTAGGGCAATGCACACTTTGACCTCTAAAATGGGACTGGATGTTGGTTCCTCAGTCCTAGCCACTCTGGAGAAATTTGAGCAGAATAAAATGCTTGGGGATAGTAACTGGAGCACTGGGACTTAAGGTCCATTTTCTCTGGACCTTATAGGAAAATTAGGCATGTAGTTTCCAAATGAATAAAGCATCTTTTCTGAACTACAGAGATGAGAATCCTGACATCTCCGCTGATGGGCTCCCTGTCGTGTTTCGTAATTCTAATCCCTATTATTTGAGGATTAGGAGCTGTGACTTTACAGAATGTCTTTCTGCAGTGTGAGGAGGGGAAATGCTGCAGGGCAGTGACTGGTCCTGGAGCCATCTGAACGGTCATGGCCCGTTACTGCTGCGGGGGAACCGTTCTCCTTGCTAATGGCATTGCTAGTGCCTGCTTCCAAGCACAGACCCAGGAAAGGCACATGTGGTGATGTTTTTTCAGGAACGCTTGAATAAAGGTTTATGTGCCTTAAAAAAAGAGAGTGGATAGACAAGGAGAAGACTGCAAGAAAGTTTTAGGCACAGCTTGGGCAAGCAGTGGAATTATGGCCCTGAGAAAACCTCTAAATGCACCAAGTCTCTTTGGCTGAATGCTGCCTGCAAAGGCTTGGGGCGAAGGAAGTCCTGCCTTCCCTGGAGCAGCAGGAGCATGTTGCTGAATGCCCCCACTCCCTGGAGGGCCAGCAGCGACTGGGGGCTCCTGGGCCACTCAGGAGCAGGAGGAGAGACCCACATCTCAAGAAGAAAGTTTAGTACTAGTTTGGTGGTGCTGCCTCTTCTCCTGGGAAATTCTTGCACAAACTTCCCTAGGGTCCATTGAGGAGCCCATTGATTTAGAGTTAATCCCCAACCCCTTTATTGATTTATTTGTAAGGATTTATATCTTTGTAAGCCTGGGCACCGTTTTGCTGGCAAAATAGCTACAGTTTCCCCCCTTGGAAACGAAGCAGAGGCCACTGAGCGCGACTATTGCTGCAGGCGTGCCTTGGCCAAGCAGCGTGCTGCGCGGTCAGGGTGGAGGGCTGTTCTGTGGGCAAGTCGGATACTTGGGTTGGAGCTGACAGATATACCCAGCCACCTGCTTGTGTTTTGGTGTTTGTCTGTTTGAATGTGATTTGTGCAAAATCCGAGCCCTCCAGCCTGGCAAATGTGCTTTGTTAGACTTTGAAACCAAATGGGTGTGCTCCGGGTTAATACAAAAAACTTTTAATCTCTTAATAGATATTTTGGGGTTATCTGCGTTTATGGAGAACTAGATTAAACAGGTACCTGCCTTTTCTCTCACTCTCTTTGATAGTTTATTCCAGTTTTACTTTGCCTGACTCACGTGCTGTGGGGCAATGAAAAGAACGCTGGATTTGTCATCTCAGTGTTTTTTTAACTAGTCATGTCAAGGTTGAGCAATTTGCAGCAGTGAGATTTGGCTCCATCCAGAAGAACACTTAGAGTACAGTGAATACGAGAGCAAAGGCCAAAGACAGTAGTCTTAACTTATTGATTAAAGGTTTGCTCAATTTTTGGGAGAAGGGCTTAAGTAGGAATGTAGATGCAAGAGGCCGACAGGCTTTACAGCTGACTAGAGCGGTAATGGGTCCATCTGGATCCTTCAGATTGTTTTCCATCCGTGGGGGGGCCAGTCTGCTCAGACAAGTCCCCCTGGAAGTGGATGGGACAAACCCTTCTCGTTCGTGTCGTACCTCAGGGCTCCAGGCCTGAGCCAGGGCTGTGCCGTGCGGCGGATGCTGCAGACGCAGAGCAGAAAAACGTTCCTTGCTCCCCAAGAGCTGCTAATCACAAGCATAAATTGGTCCAGTTCTCCTGCAGATAAGAAGTCAGTTGGACGCTCAATGTTTTGCATGATGAAGTGGCGGATGCTTCTGCACAAAGCGGAACGACTCTTTATTGCAGGGAACTCTTTATTGGGACAAACTTTGGCGGTCACCGTGGGATGACCAAACCGGCATTCGCCCTCCAGGCCGGGCCAAAACACCCGCTGGCTCTCGGGCTGCTCTGCCATCCCTGGTAGGGACTGGTGGTGGCAGAGTCTCAGCTTAATTCCCGGCTGAAATGGGAGTCGGGGGAAGCTTCAGCTGTTTCAGGATCTCAAGCAGAAAGGTGCCACGTAGCAAGAGGTAGATGTTTTTGCAGCGGTGACTCATAAGACGTACAGTCAGCGCCCCTGTTTCTTAATTTTCAGTCTTTTGCAGGAGCTGTAGCAGCCCGACAGAGTGCTGATAGGGCATAAAACCGTTCCTGGCTCCGGCTCTGTTGCGGAATAAAGAGGCTGTTCAGGGAGGGGTAGGATTTATTAATTTTTGATCTCGAGGTGGGTGACATCTGTTAGGCGAAGGAAGGAAGTGTAGGCCACGGGCACCTTAATCTCTCCTGGAGCCGGAGCGGGCCGAGGGGGCGGCCGGCGCGGGGCGGCGGGAGCGC